TTTCGTCTGAACAACAAAAAAGAAAAGGCTACCTCAAATGGTCTAATTAAAAACTCTTTTGAGGATGGGGACAGCAGCTAAAGTCCCTTCTCTGCTCTTAACTCTGCTTTTTGCCTCTGCAAAGTTTTCCATCTTTAAGCTAAACTTAGAACCCGAAGAATCCGAGCTCACTGGCTTTTTCCTTCTCAAATGTCTCGAAATACTGATATATGATCGTGACCGCCAACAGGATTCCAGTCCCCGACCCAATGGCTCCCATGAAATCAGCCAGAACAGTGAGTGCACCGATACACACTCCTCCAAAAGCTGCTGCTGTTGGGATGTACCTGTTCAGTTCCTTCTGTAAGTTAGACTCTCTATGTCCCGGCATCACCATTTGTTGTTCCTGACATTTATTATTCAGAGTCAAAGATCAAACGCCATGCAAATATATTCGTGTAATATAATATCGTGCTGTTCTGATTTCATACCTTGAGCTGCTTAGCTACATCCCTAGCAGAAGACCCAGAGACTTCTATCCATGTCTTTGAGAAAAGAGCACAGGCAGTGAGCATGAAGACAATGTAGAACAGTGCATGGAACGGGTGAGCCGCCATATCCGAGAAACTGCAACCATATTACATTTATCAGTTTGGTTGATGCATGCCGATTTGATCGATTAAAACATATATAAAAAAAGACGCTACATTACCTTGCTGGAGCCGTTATGAGGTAAGCCAGACCACTAACTGGAATAGATTGCCCACTGTACTCAGATTCTTTCCATTGTCCCAATAGGTTGACAAAGAAATTTCCACTGAACTTCCTGTAGAGAAGCTGTTGACCACGAGAAGATTCAACGTCAGCACATTGTTATTTGTTTTTTTATAGCAGCATTTACAATATATGGAAAGAATGTCTCTGTACCTGAGAGATGAAGTACAGATTTGAGACGAGAGCAGACTGGAGAATGATAGGCATGTTAGAGGTGTAGAACAGCTTGATTGGGTACGAACCCTGTTGCCCACGGGCGTTCTTGGATCTCACAGGCAAAACGACACGGAAACCTTGGAAGTAGATCACAATCAGGAAGATCAAGACTGTGGCCAGCAAGTTGGTGACATTTGGAAGATTTTGCCGGTAGAAAGCTTGGCGGAGAGCCGCAACCTTGTTGGACTTGGTTATCAGCATATGGAACAATGCAATAACAGCACCTTCAAACTCAGCTCCACGACCGGTGTTGATGGTAGTAGGGCTAAATGCTTTCCAGATAATGCTCTCACTGCGTATCATCAATTTAACATTCTAAGTATCCCATTTTACCCAAAACGATCTTATGCAAGAGAGCCAAAAGGAAAGGAATGGTTTTATAAAGCGAGGAAGAGCTTGACCTACCAGATGTTGGTGGCAATGAAAAGGGAGATTCCTGAGCCGAGACCATATCCCTTCTGAAGTAGCTCATCAAGGCAGATAACAATGATTCCGGCAAAGAAAAGCTGGAGGATGATCAGAATGGCATTTCCAACACCAAGCTGTCCAACGGGACCATACATTCCAGAAAGAACGTATGCAACAGCCTCACCGATGGCAATCAGAATACCAAGAAGCTTCTGCGCACCATTCCTACAAAACAAGTACAGACAGAGTATAAGAACTCACACGACCTCAGCTTTAGGTTTTTCCCAAAATAGCTCAATCAAGTCCAAATCTGGTTTGAAAATCACAAAACTTACAAGAGGGCACGATCCTCACGGACATTGTTGTCAACCTCAATAATCTTTGAACCAGCCAAGAGTTGCATCACAAGTCCAGACGTGACAATGGGAGTAATACCCAGCTCCATGACGGTACCACGGTTGGATGCAAGAATGACACGCATCCAGTAGAATGGATCCGCACCGGTCGTGGAATGAATTCCATAGAGAGGAAGCTGACTGCAGACAAGAAAGATGAAGAGAGAGATGACAGTGTAGATAACCTTCTCTCTGAAAGGCACCTTCCTGTCAGCACTCTGGACCTCTGGCAGAAATGCAAGGAATGGCCTCACCAAATGCAAAACTCTAAATCCTCCTCCCATTCTAGTATTCGAATCAAGTTTATCTGCTTGCTTCTGTACAAATCATAAATGACTTCCAAGTAAGCTTTTTTAAACAAAGAAAGCTAAGCAAACTAAACAAATACACACGCATGCACCCACATTCACAATCTACATGCAAATACCCAATCAACAAATTCACAAGGAAATTCCTCAACAAAAAAGAAATAAATCATCAAGCTTCCAATGAATCTGAACAATTTCGTAAGCTGCTGAATCAAAAGAACACCAAAATCGAAACTTAATTATATTAGAGCTAAAGGAAAGCTATCTAAAGTTGATTTCAAAACCAGATCTATCTCCGATCCACACCGTATATATTAAAAAAATCGATACAAATCGGTAACTAGAAACAGATCTAGAAAACATAGATCGACAATCACAGAGATCTGATTCATTTCTCATTCTGGAAAAAAAAGACGAAGAAACAAGATGCGACAGACTCACAAATGAAGATGGCGAAAGAGAACAATCAGGAGAAAGCAAATCGGGGAAATGGAAGATA